AATTCTATTTTTTAGGCCTTTGTAGATTCACAAAGGATGCTATAAATGATGTGCATTATTAATAATAATCATTTATTGACTCTCAACTAGTGCTATAACCAGTTTATAGCTAAAACTGATTTATTCCTCTTAAGGGTTCTGTGAGAGTATTGGCTCACAGATCTTGGCTCTACCTTGTAAAGTTCTGCAGACCCCAAATTTCCCAATATTTTGGGGATCATACATAATTGGTTGGGGTATCATGGTGGATTAATATGCAGGAGCATTAGGGAAACATTTCTCCTCCTTACTTTCATTTTTGGAAATTAGATTCACTCACATAAGTTATCATTTGATACTGTAGTCTTTGAGTGATAATGAGTAGATATCTATGATACACATATGTTTATATTTGTTAATGTAATTTTAATACCTCTCTTCATCTTAGAGAGAGTATTTATGGATATTATCATTAATATTATGCATGGAAGTCAGATCTCTAATTCAGGCCAAGATTGGAGCCATATAGATTGGAGCCATATGACACATAGCCTAACAATATATTACTTATTTAAACATATGCTATATTATGAATTGATGTGATGTAGTATAGTTACCCCACCAATTGACTAGAATTTTGTAGTTCATTTACTGTGGTGCATTTAGGAGAACATGCGTATGTGGCTAGAAGTAAGCTCATTAGAACCAGCTCAAGGCAGATGTTTCAGGTCAGATAAACAAGTACAGTTTGTTAAGGAAGAAGTGCTTCAACAGAAATCCTGCATCTCTGAGCTTTCTATCTTCATGGTGGAGAATGGAAAAAGAAGACAGTACTCTGTTTTTCTTGCATGAAGCAGGCTGAAGGGAAGAACCAAACAGTATCAGTCTTCGTCAGGAAAGGCAGAGCAGAGAAAAAGAGACATTCAAAGAGGCAGTCTCTTGAATAGTATCCCTGTTCCTAACTATCCCTTAGTAGTCCATAAGATTAAAAAGTGCAAAGTGTTCAAGCTTATGAATTCCAATCTCTACCAAATTCAGTATTTGAGGAAGGTGAAAATGAATCCCACACCAAGTATGTTGCCAGTGTGACACCAAATGTGTTCTTATTCTCTGAAACAATCTTTGTGGTTTATCTATTATTATTTAGTAATAGTATGCTATGCATCATAGTTTGTATATTTGTATTTCCATACTGTGGAACAGCCACTGCTCTGCATTTTAACATTCCCCACTAGTGGTGTAAGAAGCCATTAAAAAAAAAAAAGAAGGCAGAACCCAAGTATCATGTACTTTACATAACTATACAGAGGTGTGTATTTGTTTTAATCTTCCTGAAATATTCTTAATGTAGAAGATGTCTAATGATTGCTTGGACTTTTTATTTTGTTTTGGTTTTGGTTTCTAATGTTTCTTCCATGGCATATGTGTTTTTACTGAAAGTTAAAGAGGTGTTGGACTTAATGGTCTTTTCCATTTGTATGATTTCTGTTCCTCCTTAGTATTTTGGTATGTCTCAGCACATGCTACTTAAATAGAAATTGTTCTGTCCTCCCCATATCCCATCTCAGACAGAGAATGGCCTAGATTTCATTCTGAATTATTTAAGAAGTTAGATATCAATATAGTTTTGAGATTTTTGTTGTGGAGGTAAACAGGGGTCAGGCAACTGATATTTTCCTCTGAACTCCATGGTAATATTTCATTAATGTTGAAATTTGGTATTCTAACACATCTAAAGCAAAAGCCTGTTAAATAATTATTCAATTATCTGTGGGTCTTGCAGTCTGCAGGAGTCTGGGTTGATTACTGATGACCAGGACTGACCCATTCATTAAGCAGTGTGAAGTGACGAAGGAACACAAAATACAAATTAAAGGAATACGAAAGGGTAGCAAATGGCTGATTATTTAATTTGTTTTTATAAATGTTGTTACTTCAAGATAGAAGTAGTTGTGTGATTTTCTGTCTCAAGTATAAAATAACTTGCTCAGTTTAGATTATGATGCACTGTGGGTTCTCCTAATAGGTAGTGACTACATCTGCTGTTTCAACTCAAGCAGCAAACAAGATCTCGTGATTTGGCCGTATAGAGACCAGTAGTGTCATTAGGTAGAGTTTCAGATGTCACGAAAGGGCAGCAGATAGTTAATTATTTATTATATTTTTATTGCCTATAGCCAAAACAATTTGACTAGCCTCTGATACTCTGAGAAAGGGTGAATCTCATTTGTTGCCCCTGCAAATCTCCTGCAGCAAAAAAAAAAAAAAAAAATTAAATCACATTACCCTGTTTTTTATCTCAGAATGCCAAGTTTTCAAGCAAGAAGGAAGCCCCTTTCATTGTTGAAACATCAGAAATTGGCTCCGATGTATTTGCTGGAGTGGAAGCAAAAGGCTTAAGTCATAGGTATGATTTTTATATCAATGGGACCCAGTGTGATACTGTTATGGAAACTGTTGTTCTGTCAGTGCTCATGTCTCTTTGTCATTTCTCAGATTTAAAGTAGTGTTGAGCAATTGCTGGGCAACCCCTTCCTCAGAATATTTCTATCAAATCCAATGGCCTCTGATAACTAAAGGGTATGTAATTCATTTTCTCTCTTTGTCTAAATCAGGTTTATTCACAATGATATTGTATTCCACCAGTTAAGCATATCTTAATTCTATTTAGTTATTTGTTAGAGTTATATCTCATCTGTTTTTTGTCTCATTCTAATACTCCCTGTTATTTGTCTGGCACAGGTGTGCAACAGATGAATCCATTTTAGTACATGAAAACGGAAAAAATAATCGAGCCACTTTCCAGTTTAATGCATTTCGGTTCCGGAATATTCCCAAACTTTCCAAGGTGTGGCTGCATTGTGAAACATATGTGTGTGACAGTGAGAAGTTGTTTTGCCCTGTGGTAAGTTCTTTAGATAATAGTTAAATATTAAACTTAGACTCCCAAAATAGAATACATGAACCTGAGAAGACAAGACAGTGTAAACATGGATTTTTGGTCCAACATTTCAGTATTAAATTGTTTTTAAAGCCATTTCTCATTTAGTTATGACTTACATTAAAAGCCTAAGCCTTCGCTACTTTGTGCCTCCAGATATATTAGATTTCAAGTTACACACTCCATCTAGCATTTTTGCTGGGGGATTATGGAGATGATATTTAATACACCTAAAAGATATGAGTTAATGGATTTGAGGGCTTGCCCTAATTGTTTCTGCAGACAGTAAAACTTGGATTTGGGCGTAGAAGCACCATGGTAACATTCCTTTGCTAAGTCTTATAGCTCCTTGAATAAACACTATATCTCAGACTATCCCACCTTACAGTGTTATTGTAAGACAATGTGAAATAACCTTCATCTATGAGTAAGAATGGAAAGGAATAACTATTGTGATATTCACTAGGGGGTGCTAATGCAATGTTTGTGATAGTGCTGCCTTATCCTGTTCAGAACGCTGTGTAGGTATGATAAATGTTCTGTGTCTCATCAAGAATTACAATGTATTTAGAATCCAATAAAAGAGTTGTATAACTTACTGTAAGTAAATTCAGTGTTTGTGACAAAGTTGTTCTGTATCAATATCCTTCCCTATAATTTCTGAATTTGAAGTTTAGACTTGAGATTCCCTTTACAAAAATCTTATGCAGAAAGCACTTAGAACACTATCATGCACTAATTACAAACTATCCTGCCACTGTATTCATTGACTTCTATATCAGCTCATGTGCACTGAGTGTGGGGCACTTAGGGCTAGTTATATGTTTAAACAGTAAAGTTTTAGAAAAATCCATACTGTTTCCTTGAAAACAATGGAGAAGTGCTTTGACATTGCCTTCTCCTAGGTAGGCTGGCTTTTCTCATCCCTGCCTCATTGCACTCACCCTTATTATGGATTGCCTTTAGCTTCACCTCTCCCTTTTTGACCTTATCAGGAAATTCCACCCATGATAACATTGCTCTCATGGTTGCTGAGCCCTCCCAACAGGTAATTCATAGGGAGTGATCGTGGTATTTAATTCTCACCAAATATGCCAAGGATGAGCTTAATATCTTAGCTTTATTCCATGGTATAGTTGCTCTAAGATCTACAAAAATGGTTTCAAAATACTTAAGAGATGGGAATCTTCATTTGTTTGGCAGGTTATGGGAGATAATTTGCCTTTTTTTGGTTCTCTTTGGGTTCTGTGGTTACTTAGAATGCATACCGTTCATAAACTAGGATTAACTGTTTTAATTGTTTTCTTTGCTATTTCTAAGGTATGTGCAAAACGGAGAGAACATATGGAGCAAACAGGTGGTGTTTTAATTGCAGAATTCACTGTGAACAGTAAGTTCTAAGTTCTAATGAGAGTAACAGTAAGTTCTCATGAGAGTGGGAATGTTTCAGTAGAAAAACTTTGTTTCTTCAGGTGAAAAGAATTGCCACAGTCTTTCTCTTTCTCATCCATATAAACATATCATTCAAATACACCCAGACACAGACACCTTGCTGCACTTTTCACATCCACCCTTGCTCCCTAATCTACTCTTACTATATTCTGTCCTCCCAGTCTCCCCTCTTCCTTCTGTGAAACTGCTGGATCATCTCCAGCTCTGTTCTCCTGAGATTGTTTCACTATCACATGCATCAGCAATGAAGTCAATTCCATCTTTCCTTTCTGAGTGGAATATTTTATAGCAAAGAATGTTTACTTCGGGCCAGAGTAGTCTGGAGAGAGTGATGGGAGCTCACATTTCACTTGGAAGCATGCTGAATTTTTCTGAGAAAGAAAAATAAGTTTAAGAAACAAATTGTAAATATCAGCAGAATCCTTTGTGGCCAAAGGAGTCCAAAGAATGGTGCATACTGGCCTTACTCTGACTTCTGGGTACCTCTCAGATGATTCCCCGATTACAGTATAAACAGAGAACATTTAAACTGAATAAGGACCATTATGATGGTCCACTTTCAGAGAGACATGGATTCAGATATAGTGGTACCTCAGGTTACGAATTTAATCCGTTCCATGACTCTGGTCGCAACCCGATTTGTTCGCAACCCAAAGCAAATTTTCCCATAAGGTTCAAAGGTTAATCCGTTCTGGCGTCCGCGGACCACGCGTCAAGGGTGTAAGAACGGCCGCAGACCACACGGCAGGGCGGAAAAACGGCCGCGGACCACGTGGCACGGGTGGAAAAATGGCCACAGACCATGTGGCACGGGCGGAAAATGGCCACGGACCACATGGCACAGGTGGAAAATGGCTGCGGACCATGTGTCACGGCGGAAAATGGCCACAGATCCGGTTCGTACCCCAAGGCGGAGTTCACAAACTCAGGTAAATTTTTGCGGCCGGAGCTGGTTGTAACCCAAAAAGTTCGTAAGCAGAGGCGTTCGTAACCCGAGGTACCACTGTAGATTCTAAGATATGGAGGAATCCTGCAAGAGGAAATTGAGATAGCCCTTGTGGCAGAACAAAATGGACAGTAGATTAGTGCAGTTGATCAAGTTAAATTAGACGAGGCAAAGGGGTTTTCTAATGACTCTAGTCAGAGCTATAGTAACTCTTTTATTCAGAAAGATGTTTGTAAGGGATAGCTGAGGTGAGCTGTTTGAGTTATTTTGTTTACAATTTTGTTTTTATTAACTAGTAAGTGTTTTGGTTTTAATGATCAGCCACTCTGAACACTGCTTAAAATGAAATTATATAATTAAGTCATTCAACTTTTCTGAATGGGCCATCACTTTTAGAATGGATCTTGTGGCTTGTATTGATAATCTCATACAATTTTCTAATCTAAAAGACTTTTTTTCTTATTTCACACAGGTAGAGGGTTATCCAGGAGTTACAAATTATCAGGTAGAAGTTAGAAATATTAAAATTATTTGTAATCCAGCTAATACCATACCAATAATAGAGCTGTGTAATGTTTCACTTTGAAACTGAAAAGTTGCTTCAGCATATGTGGGAGCCTATAGGCAGACCCATAATAGTATGTGGCAAAGACCTTGGGAGACTGGGCAAAGAGACGCTGCCAAGGGAATGGTCAGATAAGAGACAGCATAGACTGTAGCTGGATAGTAGGTGGGGCAAGAAGCTCAGAAGATACCCTCCTTAGTTTCTCGGGCTGAACAGGAGACAGGCGGGGGGCAGAATTATACTTGCAAGATTCTGTCAATGTAGCTTTGCAATAAAGTAGAATTAGCTCATCTGGTTGTGATTCCTATCTGGTATTCCCCATGAGGCCGACATCAATCTTCAAGTCTGAAAGTACTATTCTGTCCTCCGGTCCATCTCCTTTACTGCCTGAGAAACTAGGGATGGTCTCTTCTAAGCCTCTTGCCCTTCCCACTATCCAGCTGCAGGCTATGCTGCCTCTTATCTGATCATTCCCTTGGCAGCATCTCTTGGCCCAGTCTCCCAAGGTCATTCCCACATACCATTACAGCACCTGCTGGTTTCCAGGGCCATACTCCTGTTTCATCAAGTCACTGATATGTGCTGATAGATCTTGGGAAAAAGTGCAGCTCCTTTAATGAGTTGCCATCAGATGCTGGGTTCCCACTCCTGCATACTATGAAACAACTTTTCAAAACTGAATCTAAACTGTTGCACAGCATTAATAGCTAGCAAGTGAGCACTGTCATTTTGCAAGAAATTTAAATTAAAAGCATAAGGGCACTGCTTTGTTGTATATACTCTCTGCTTTATATGATAAAATATTTCTCAGAGTTGGACAAATCTTTGGGCAAGACCCATTAAAATTAGAAAGGATTTTACATGGTGCTACTTGTTGCTTATTCCTGTTAACATCATAGTCTTGATAGGGAGACGTCCTGCACAGCAAAGATAGGCAGCCACTATCTCTATGCCACTCAGAGATTGCACCACAAAATGTGGAGATAAAATGGCCAGTGTTTAGCTGGACAATGTTTTGTTTACTGCTTGGTCAGTTTCAAAAATTGCAGGTGGGAATGGCAGTAAATGTCCACTGGGAGGCAAATGACTTCCATTCCTACCTGTAACCTCCCACCAGACCTTCTGAAAAAAATGGCTGAAATTGCACTACCAAAAAACACCCATTCTGGTGTTGAAAGTTAGTAATGGATTTGAGTAATTTTACACGGTTTTGAGGAGAGAGTTAAATATGAAGATGGAAGATGTTTGCCTCCCAAAGCCATCTACTTTCTTGCAGAAATGGTTTTAAAAATACACAACAAAAAATCCCTTCTTGTAATCTTTTCAGGTCATTTAAATAGCCACCTGCAGTCCTTCAGAGAGTCAGGGGAAAGCAGTCCCCAATCACACAAGTATTGCCCAGAGTACAGACACTACATTTCCCATAGCCTTCCATATAAACCCGAGATACCACAGGATCTATTTTTTCATTCAAATTAATGAACTCAATAATAAATCATTAGTACCTTTTGAATGAAAGCCAGTTTGTTGTAGTGGTTAAGGCACCCAGCTAGAAACTGGGAGACTGAGTTCTAGTCCTGACTTAGGTACAAAACCACTTGAGTGACCCTGGGCCAGTCACTCTCTCAGCCCTAGGAAGCAGGCAATGGCAAACCACTTCCAAAAATCTTGCCAAGAAAACTGCAGGGACTAATCCAGGAAGTCACAAGGAGCCAACACTGACTTGAAGGTACACAAACAAAACATAGCTTCACGATAGTTTTGAAAGTACAAGAACTTAAACATACATGAGTGATAGAGACTATGTTGTGACAGTTGCTAATCACTTATATTCTTTCTATTTTTCTTTCTTTTGCAGTTATTTCCCATTTATTCCTACTACTTGGAATTTGTGTAATTTTAGTATAATATTTGATCCAACTTCAACTGCTGATTATTATACTTGTGGTTCTCTGTTGCTACAAAGAGATATTTTGCTCACTTTAATATTTTACATAAAAATATTTCTATGATAGCTAAAAAGAATAGTGATTTGTATTCAACTATGTGCTTTTTTCATATAAATTTCTTGTTTTCTGAGTAACAGAATAAAGATTTTTTTAATGTAATTTACAAGTGGTTTTTCCCCCCCCAAATGTTAGTCCCAACAAAAGGCAGCCTTTAATTTATTTCTTGACTGTCTGAACCAAGCATCTATCTCACCCTCAAGATTGGGACTAGCAAGAAAACCATATTGCAGGAATCAGCTAGTTAGTGGTAGCACTGTTTCTTTAAGAATACAGTAGATAATAATTGGGTTAGCAGACTAATGCTTAGAATATAGCTGTTCCTAACTCAAGGTACCTAGTAATTTTCAGGATGAACTAATGTATAGTACTTTTGTCCTAAAAATTAGATCTTGGCTTCTGTGTATTAGCTGGAAGAATCCTTGTGCACAACCAAGATCACTGCCAGTTACTGAGTAAAATGTATTTGTGTTGAGGACACTGACTGGATTCGCATGTCTTATTAAGCCATAAGCCTTAATTATGGTTTTTAGACCATAATTACTAGGTTCACACAACAAATGACAGCAAAATGTAAAGACCAGATTCCTATCCACCTTCAGATTAATGAATCCATGATGGCCAAATGTGAAATACTTCATAGAAAAGACAAAATGTTTGTACTGCAGACTACCTGAGGGTGCCAGTAATAATTGAACATATAACATTTGGTGAATAAGTAGGACTTCTATTCCAAGCTGCATTTCATTCTAGGACCATCATTCTCAGCATTTAAAAATGATCACCTAAGAAAGTCATTGAAGTGCAACTTTCAAAGTTACAGTTCAAAGCTTGCAAGGCCTGGAACATTCCTTAACCTCTGTACTCACTGGGCAATGTTCCCATGACACTTTATCACACTCTGACTGTTGAGTTGAAAGATATACACTAAATCCATTTTTAAAAACGTGACAGAATTAAGAAAATAAACATAACAGTTGAGGACATGAAGAGGAGGAAATAGTTATACAGTCCATTATACACACTTATTATTTTCAATACTGACTTTCCTGAACTACATTAAAGATATAAGCTACAATCTACACTTTTTTTTAATATGGAAAAATGAAAAGAAAAGAATAAGCGAACTCTCATCTTGATCTATGTGTTTTATCCACATTTAATTAATAATCAATTGTATTAGAAAATGAACATGTCATTTTTTAAAATTAATAATAGATTATAAAATGAACTGGCTGATAGATTTTGTTAACAGAATACTAGAATCACAACACCTTTTATGTGACCTAGAAGCAGTTTATAGTCTTATGAGAATTTAACATGAAGATGAATTTTGAATAAGGGCAAGAGGAACAATATCAATTTCATTCAAATAAATGATTCTTCAACATTATTATAGGTTGATTTAATGAAATTACCAATTTTTATTTAATCAAAACTTCAACAATTAGATATTTTTAAAAGAATCTAAGAAGAATATTTAGATTTCATTTTAAAAAAATAAAGATAATTAGCCTGGATTTTTCTACTTCATCGTATACTACTTTGTTTCTAATTCAAAAATACTATTCTGAACTGACATTTCTACTATACAGTAAATTATATTTAAAGAAGTTTATTTCTAAGTAGATATTCTTAACACTCACAGGGTGTTTGCTTATGTAAAAATAAATCCCATTGTGTCTGATGAGATTCACTACACCATTTCCTTAGTTGTGTATTTTGCTAGTCACATTTTTTTAAAAAATACAAAGGCGTCTCCTCAGACAATATGGAGAAGATTACACTATTTCTTATACTAGTGTAAATAGCAAACTTTATACAGCTAATACTATGATATTATGCATCTAGGATTACTTCAAATATTATATTTGCATAAAGACAAAACATGCAAGAAATATGTTGCACAGATACACATACTGTGCAGTAGGTAATATGAGGCTTTGTGACAATTCCCTTGTGACTCACTTATGCAGAAGTGGTAACAGTGGATGAAGAGAGGAATTTAAGGTAAGAAAAAATCCTACTAATTGTCTAGGGATGCTTTTCCTTAATTTAAATTTGACTTGTGGGTCTATCCTTTGATAATCTAAAATTAGGATTGAAACAAATGTAATTCTAGAAGGTGGGAAGGGTATAAACACGTATAAAAGCTCTAGCCCTATGAAAAACAGAGTCCTGCCTTACATTTGCTTTGGGTTGTCTATTCAAAAGGTAGCAATGTGACCATGAAAAATCTGTTAATACGAAACTACAATTCAGACAGGCTGTGCCATGTTTTAGATACTACTCCTAAAAGATACTTCAGAGTTTGGAGCAAACGTAGCACATAAAGGCTTCAAGTCTTTAAAGCAGCCATGTTTTTTACAAGATTGTGTAGCAGCTGCAGAATGCATCCACATGATCACAGAAAAAGACCCAGCTGCTTTAGAGAGAGGCAGATGGGTATCATGCTTATGCTCCCATGTAACTCAAAGCACCTTCCTGGAATGAAATCTGCATTAGACTTATAAGGCAATTATTTATGTACTACTGCATCTGTGCCATTCAGTTCCCAAGTGTTTTAAGTGAGTTACCTCCACTGGCAGCATTGAATTAAAAGCATAATTGATATTGAGAGACCTCATACGACACAACAATATAGATATGCCACCAGCTAGGGATAGGTTAATCCTCCCAGTCACCAAGCACTTTCCTAAAGAGTTATCTTTTTATAGCTCTTTGAAAGCCTAGTAAGATAGTTTGTAGGGTTCCTTGCCTTGAACTAGATACTCAATATTGCATGGCTAGATGAGACTCTAGAATGAAGCCACCTGAAGATATTGATTGCCATCTGTCAACATGAGAGTGTGGTTTAAATCCAGCAGTTATTTTTCCTTGCTTTACCACAGCTTAACAGACATCTTGCTCAATTGTGGTTAGATGTTTATTACTTAATTAGATTTATACCCCTTCATTCTACCAGTTTGACAATCAAGGCAATCTGCAATAGTATAAAGTGTACAAACTATAAGCTAAACAGCAATACAACTAAAATACAGATAAATGTCAAACATTAAAATAAAGCAACAATTACAATTAACACTTAACAACATGGAGAAAGAAATATGTTTTTACCAAATTTCTAAATACTAGGAGAGTAGAGTCCAGGAACATCTCCTTAAGAGCCTGTTCCACAGCCTGGGAGCTATACAAGAGAGAAATACAAAATTTCCCACATGTCAGACAGTTGCACCTCTCGCAATGGGGTATCTTCAAGAGGGCCTCCTGCTGATCTGAGTGTTACTTTCTTTTCATTTGAATCCATTTCTAAATTAAAACAAAGTTTGTTTGTTTGAATTTGGAACACTGCACCTCAGTCTACTTCTATATGTTATAAACTTTTATTTCAGATACTTCTTTTCATTGCAAATGATTTTATTTTTTCATCTCTAAGACAGAACTATCTGAATATAAAGATGGGAAAGAAACATTTCTAGAGTTAAAGAAAATCACCTTGATTTGAACTGTTTCCCTTTGACTGAAAGTTTAAGTATTAAAAGGCAGAGCTATTACATGTACTGTATCCAGGAGACATTTTGTATACAGCAAGATGTAATCACAGAATTTAAGAGAGTTGAATAATTCTATCCTTGCTATCTCTAGGTTGGAATGTAAACGTTAATATGGACAGATCAGTGACCCAGTAGAAGTTAGTTCAGAAATCATAAGGCTAAGAAAAGGCCAAGCTAAAAAGAGAAGTTTAATGTGAGAAGAGGAAAAATTGTAGAAGAAATCAATTATGAGTTCCTATTAAACTAAAGGAAGATATGTACAGAATAGGATTGTATTATATTGATAGTCTGTCACATTGCTTCATGTGACACAGTATCATGAGGAATGGCTATATGATCCTTTTCCAAGCAGGATTCCATTTATAATTTATCTATAAGCAATAATCTCAGTCAGTTGATACATTTGGGTCAAGTAAAGTGCTTAACTACAGATTCTGCCTCCACATTTCCCTTCAGCTCTTGTTGAAACTTGCTGTTGAAATCTGCAAGGGGCATGTCAAATCCAGCTTTTCCTTTCAGCCAAAAAGTTCTTTGCTGCCCTTTGCCCTAGCAATCAACAAAACCAGTTATTTTACATAACATCAAAAGCAAAGCAAAGCTACCCACATGTAGTAAGTGTCAACACCGATAATTGCAGAAAGTTAGCATTTAACACAATGAAGAGTATTCCTTCAAGGGAAAAGGTAATGAAGAAGAAATTGAGAAAATGGAATCTTGGGTTGCCATTTTTTCTTCAATATCCCAATCTTTCTTCATAGGAAGTCTACTTCTAAGAAACCATTCAATACTTCTGGTTCATAATCCTTTCTCTGACTTTTATTTTGGATTCTGTCTGCTTAAATAGCCCAACAACGTGACAAGATCTGGCTGACTTCGACTGATTTCACAAAAAAGCTAAGGTGGGTCAAACCTAGTTGTACTTGAATGAGAGACCCAGGGTTCTAGGCTACATTAGAGAGTATATGCACATACTCATGGAATTGCCAAGAACCAAGCTAGACTTAAATGAAACTTTATTATCCCTGAAACAAAACTGTTAATCCATCTGGAATGCATGCATATTTTTGTACTGGAAAAAGCATAATTGTAATGTAAGAATTGCCCAAAGTACTGACCAATCTACAAATGGTTGTAATGTCAAAGCTCTGAGATAGGGATGGGCAATAAGGTGCATTTTCAGTGATGTAGCACTTCAGTTCCTGTAGTCTTTCGCTCAGTTTTAGCAATGCTGACTAGCTCTGATGAGAACTCAAGTTTATAGTATCCCAAAGGCTATACATTGTCAAATTAAAAGCTATCCACACAATATTCAGCTACAGGGAGGTTTAGCCAGAATATATTGTATTCTTTGATTCTATGGAAGACATACCTTTATTCTTATAGTTCCTCTTTCTTGCAAATTGTAACCCCCAATTCTTTGAAGAGCATTTGCTGTGATACTAGAAACATGGATTTGCAGAGCTAAGAGATGGAGAGAAAGACACTTACATCATTATGCATTGATGGCAAGTTTTTGAAAGTATTCTGTTTTAAGAGTTCTGTCTAATAACCTATTTTTTCCCTATCTATTAACTCTTAATTACATTAAAAGTCCAGCAATCAAGCTGATTGCAATTCACATAGTCTTTATAATTAAGAACTAATTTAAAGTCATCCTCTTTTTTTTTTTTTAATAATGAACAGCCAGATGCTTCCTCAATCAGGGTGTAAAGATAATATTCTTTCCTTGTAACTTCCGAGCAGTATGAGAATCTTATGAGTACCTATTACTGCCGTCCATTTATTCCACTGTAGACTGCTATGCATTGATTTCTGAAACAGGATACATGAATAAAATGATAGATATGGTTTACATCAACTTTTTCTTTTCTCTGTAAGAAATGAATGACAACGTACGTAAACTGGTACTTTCCATCCGTGAGGCTGTGTTCACAGTGTCTCCAAAGAGACAATATCGTGGCCTTGTGATGCCTACCACTCCTGCAACAACAGGGCCTGGAATGACAAGCACTAAGAATTACTTCAGCTACACAGAAAAGAAGTATAAGATTCTGGCATGCTTTATTTCTTACTGAAATGTAGAAACAAAATTGGGATTTTAGGGCATGTGATCTGAACATTTTATATTTTACATATATTTTGTTTTCCCAGCTGTAGTGACTTTCCTATTCTAATGAATGCTCTTATTCTTTCTTGAAGAAACAATTTTCCTAGCAATATAGGACCAAAGTTGCACAAGACTATGCTTGAGAACATGGATCAGGTTAATCATCTTCCCACTACAATCCACCACTGGATAGCTATTATGAGGGACTAAAATATGAGCCAGTTGGAATCCAATTAAAAAGTCCATTAATACCTTGTTTTCCCAGCAGAAAATACGTATTTTAATACACTTTATTTTGTTCTGACTGTGTCTCTTTTTTTCTGAAAAAAATATTTTATGTGGATGGTTCAGGCAAGTATAATGCAAAGAGTGTCCTAATGAATCACCTATATATCCTCTAACATTAGTAAAGTTGTTTTGGTAATATAGCACATAGGTGAAATCCTGTATGTAAATAATGATAAATAAATAATACTCCAGCCTCAAATATACATAATCACAACATTCTGGTCATGTATCATGGAGATTAGCCCTCTGAGATATGTGCACAGAATTTAACATGCAAAGCTCCATTCTTACTTCCTTTGAATATATACAGGACACCAGCAGATGTCTGGAAGTAGGGAGGGAAGAAGAATACAGTCTCACTACCTCCTCAGTCAGTGACTGGTTGACACATCATACAAAGACATAACATAGCTTGTTTGATTTTGTCTTAGCTTGTTATATGAATACAACCATTGCAGTTAATAAAGCATGGATTATAGCCAATTTTAGTTCATTAAAAAAAGTTAAACCATGACTTAATCTGATGTATATGATTTCTGTAGCAGGATAGGATAGGATAGGATAGGATAGGATAGGATAGATCCAGAAATAATAAGCGATCAGATTAATTCTCAAAATAGGCATCAAATGTAGTATTCTGACTCATTCCATATTGTGACCATCTGGAACACAGACACATATCTCAGGATAGCTTCTAGGACTGACTTGAAAGCTGTAATACCTCTCTAAAATACAGACAGAAAAAGGCAATGAATTTTCGCAGTATATTATTTAATATCCTATAAAACAAACCATGAGAGAACATCAATGTAATATAACCAATAAAAGAAGCAATTATTCTTAGTTGATCAAAGATCTCTTCCATAAAGGAAGTTTTGCAAGGGAGGACTATAACAGTGTAGGTTTAAGTCTAAAGGACACTTCCAACTCAGTCTACCCAAATAAATCAGAAAGAATAATAAATTGCAAGCTTCTGCTGATTCTGTCCCAATGAGCAGTGTATGTTCTGATAAATTCATTTTCACAAAAGGTCAGTTCAGTTAAGAGATGAAAGTCCAAAGAGATTGATACTATTCACCTGTATGAATTCCAATTCGCACCCTCAGTTTCTCATTCGGCAGGTGCCTGATTTTGAAGGATATAACTGCACTGAGAAAATGCAAAGACATAGTGGCAATTTCTTCAACATGTTTTGCTCCATTGGGAATGGGGAGGCCACTAGCAACCATATAGGCATCTCCAATAGTTTCAACCTGGAAACAACAAAACCCATTATTTGTACTTGTATAGAAGTAGGATGCCAGATAGAACAGATTATAGAATTTAATAGCAATTCATAAAAGTGTGTAAGTAGGACATGTTTTTGGAAGGTTCGAATTTTCATCCCTCAACAGAATATAGAATTTATAGGACACAAAAAAGGAATCTCATGTTCTTATGTCTTAATTATCTTCACAACTGTTCTCAAACAAAGAAAATGATATATGGCAAATTATGGATTTTTTTTTCATGGCTACTGAGAGGAATGATGCAGATATCCTTTTCCAGGGGAATTTTTTTCCTTACCTTGTAGACATCATATATTTGAATGATATTATCAAATAGACTATACAGGTCATTGAGGAGAGTGACAACTTGCAGGGGAGAGCTGAAAGAGCATAACTTGGTGAAGCCAACGATATCTGAGAAGAAAATGGAGACTGATTCAAAGCTTTCAGGTTCCACTGGTTTTCCAGCAACAAGTTGTTCTCCTATAAAGCTGGAACATAAATGGATGAGAGATAAATTCTGCCTCTATTTATTTCAGAAAAAAATCACAGCAGAGTCTTAAAATCATAAAGTCATGTAAAGTTACATACAGTTTCTCATCCTTAAAACAAGATGGTTCTTAATTCTACAACTGAAAGACTGAAGTTATTTTCCACAGTATGCAATCGGGTCATAACTTTAAGATACAGCAAATAACAGATAGTGTTATTTGTTTCAAAAATGTGTGTACTCCAAAAGTCAGGATTTCGACCTCCACATCCAAGAAATTAACCTAAATGAGGTTTATGAGAAAGAAAGGATCAGGTTCCAGTGCAGAAACTCTAGCTACCAATTGACTTTTAAAGGAAGCCTCTTTGCATGCTCTATTGTGGTTGTTGTTTAGTCGTTAAGTCATGTCCGACTCTTCGTGACCCCATGAACCATATTGCG